CGGTGCTTCAAGCAGCGTTATTTTATGCCATGAATAATATGATTTGGATTTGTTTTTTAAATTTAAGTTTCAGGAGTAAGAATCATGGGCCTAGAAAACATTTTTTTAATTTTCCTTTTCAGGAAATAAGCATTGGGCATGGGATTTTGCAGGGAGGGAAAGTTTCTGTTCCCCCAGAAAACTGCCTAAACGCATCCTCAGATACGCTCCCCTTGTAACACCCCTCAACCACCAAACAACTAGATTTATAGTTAAACTGATGAAAATGTCACTGACTTATCTCGGCGTCTTTACTGTCCCAGGCATTGACTCAGATCTGAAAGTCTCAAGAGGGAGTGTCATTCCGTTACACTGTATCATCCAAGTGGCAGGCACTGGTCACAGTGTCCACACTTTGGTACAGAGAAACCATCTCAAAAATGAGGACGTGAACAGAGAGCTGCCAGGCATAGACGTGCTGGTGGAATTTTACCCGGGTCCTATTAATCCGTGTATCACTTTGATTCATGAGTTATTTAAAAATTTTTTTTTCTGATTTTATATACCCTTCTTCCTCTGAAGCTAAAGTTGTGGTGAAAGTAATCAATACAGAAAGCAGTGTGTGATGTCAGCTTTCAAAAAACCCCCATGACAACTGAAGCGTTGCTGACAAATGGGTTCGTGTAAGAAACGGGTTGCAAGCTTGCGTTCTGGGTGCGTGGGTTCTCCTCCCAACCCTGGTCCAAGCAGATGCGAATAGGAAAGACAGAGGGTTCAGTATTCATGTCCTAAGACCCTGCTCTGTGCCAGCCCCAGGCTGGGCGCTCCTTGGCCTTGCACGGGTGAGGTCCCTTTCCCTGTCGTGACCACTGGCCTCCCAGCGCCTCCCCCGCTGCCCCAGCTCTGCCCGGTCTGCAGGTTCCTCCACACTGGAGGTCCTCAGACCCTCCTGTTTTCACACAAGAGTCCATACTCCCACCCATGGCCTCGATTACTCCCTGAACATGGACCACGTCCATGTTTCCGTGACAGCTCAGAGCTCTCATCTGAAGTCCAAGCCCAGCATCCACTGGGACGCCTCACACCCGCCAAACACAGTGCAATAGACACTCTGCATCTTTATCCTCAACCTCAACTCAGTAGGAGTTTCTCACCCACCGGTCTTCCATCAGGACCCTGGGAGTCCACCTCCAGTCTTCCTTCTCCCCCAGCTCCTCCTCTGCATCCAATCAAGCGCCCAGCTCACTCACTCCTTCCTCTTAGCTGTTCTATAATCCATCTGCTTCTCACCATTTCCGCCTCCTCCATCACGGCCCAAGCCTCCCTCTCCGACCCAATCTCAGTGGACTCCAACGGGTCTCCACCCATCCCTTGCCCCAGACACATTCTCTGCAGCAGGCAGAAGGCGTCTTCAAAAGGGAACATCTGATTGTGCGCCTCCCTTATTTCAGTGGCTTCACACTTCTTTTAGGCTAAAGTTCTAAATACCAGTTTGAGACATTTCATATAAACATGCAAAATGGGTCTGGCCCTGCCTCCTCCCTGGCCTGCACGTGGCACTGGGCCACGCGGGGAGTTTCGCAGTCTTCAGATGCACTTGCTCCTCCTTTCCTGGAGACTTTGGCATGCTGTTCCCTCTGCCTGAAACACGCTTCCTTCAGCCCTTCCTTCTCCAGGGCCTCCAGCTCTTGGTCTCCCTGCCCACCACCCACCTCTCCGCAGTCAGGACAGATGCCCCCAGAACAGTACCCTATATTTATTTTGGCAATTTTGAAAATAAATCTCAAGAACTATTTTTGTAACTTGTTTAACCTCCGTCTTGCCAGATCGACCCAGAGCTCTCAGGGCTGAGGCTGTACCCAGTGTGCTTTCTCAGTGACTGTCTACATCCATGCGGAGCACAGTCTAGACTTCAAAAGGTATGAAAGAAGCCTTTTGTTGCTGACTGCCCTAATCCAAATGTTGATCCAATGATCAAACACACACGCATACATTAGGAGAGTAAGCAGAACAGAAAAAAAGACCATTCAAATTAGACATTTACTTCTTTAGCACTTGGCCCCGGGAACGCTGGTGCATTTCACTTGACAGTTTACTGTAAATTGTTTTCTTACAGTTGGCTAATTGTTTGATGACAAAACTTGATGCTGGCAAAGAAGGATGAGAGCAGAAGTGGAGGCTTTATAAACAAAGTGAGCGAGATGACAAAGGCCCCAGCCCTAGGTCCCCAATCTCATGCCACCCTCCCACAGAGGATGCCGACAGAACCCTCTCCAGTCAGAAATGAGCTGGAGCCAGAGCAAATGAAGGATTGAAAGTGATCTGTCTATAGGAACGCAACAGATACGTGCTCGACCCTTTCAGCCCGTCTAAGCTTTACAGATCCACACAGGCTCTTCCCATAAATAAGTGCAAAGATTTCTTACAGAGGAAATTGCACGAGAAATGACAGTTGACAGTGTCAGGAGTCAGCAAAGTTGTACCTTGTAAAAAACCTAAGATTAGACAATTCTTCCTGCAAATGCAGCCATAGCCGCTTCTTCTGTTGTGGTCCAGGGGCTGTGACCCTGGGGGGGGGGCACGCTTGGAGCCCCGTGCACATAAGTCAAGTGGGAAGGACTCCTCCACAGACCTCAGCAGCAGTGCCTGGGGCAGAAGCCCCAACGGGAGAGCAGGGGAGAGGCAAGGGGAGCCCCTGACGAGCTGCTCCTTTGTGAGCTGCTGTGTCTGCTCCCCAGGCCCATGGCATCCACGCCAGCACCCTGCGAGATAGCCTCCAGCAGCGCTGTTCCATCAGCCAAGGCTGAAAAGTTGCCAGAAAGTATGAGATACGGGAAGGAGGGGATGCTCTGCCTCCACCACTACGTCACCTGGGTAGAAGTTACCATCATAAAAAAAAAAAAAATAAACAAATAAATCAGCTAAGATATTACTCCAGGGCCAGTCTGGGTCCTGCCCCAGCCGAAAGGAGCTGAGGTTAAAAACCTAATCCCGAAAGCCTGACACTGGCCATCCGGTCACGATCATGTGGTGATTTATCACGTGCTAAAACAAATCTGTTTCACTTTTTTGTTTTTGCCTTCCTCCTGTTCCCTTTGGTCTGCATCTGATAAGTGGAGGATTACCGGGGAAGAGATCAAGATCATTCAGGGTTGGAAAGGAAAAAAGTAAGCAATAGAAAAGACTTTCTGAACTTTTTTTTTTTTGTAATTATAGAAACAGTGTATACTTGCTGTTTAAAAGCCACGCCAAGCAGACAATATGTGAAAAGTCACCCCCACCCCTGAAGAAAGCCAGAGGGTCCCGGATGGCAGTGGGTTCCTCATTTCTAAGTGATGCAGGAAAACAGATGTGGGGCGTGAGGAGGGCCGTGTCCCAGGCTTCGGTTGAGCCCCTGGGATGTTCCCCCGGCAAGTGTGGGTCCTTGGCTTGCGCAGGAAAGAATGCAAGAGCAAGCCACAGTTGAGTGAAGGTAGATTTATTCAGAGAGATACATTGAAAAGCAAGAGGACGGCCACGGGGTGTAGGGGTTGGGTGCTCAGATTAAAAGTAGCTACACACTCCATAGACAGAATGTGGGCCATCTCTCAGAAGAGGGAGAGAGAGGGGCGGTGGCCATGAGGCACTGGATTGCCAGTTTTTACAGGCTTGGTGGCTTCATATGCTAATAAGTGGAAGGGCCAGTCTAAGTAGCCTGGGGGAGGGGCTGGGATTCCCAGGGAGTTGGCCGTTTCCCACCCTCTGACCTTTTGCGTCTAGCCTTGGGGCTGCCCTGGTGCATGTGGGTGTGTTATTCACCACGTTAATATCTTACAAAGGGCGCAAGATGAAGCTCAAGTTCTGCTAGAAGTTAGATCTCTCATCATCCTGAGCCTCAAGGCCTCCTGGGGGCTGAATCTTTCACCATTTTGATGTTAATTGCTGTGGCCTTCCTTGAATGGCCGTGCCCTGCCCCCTTCCTGTCTCATAAGGAGCAGCTGGAGGAAAATCTGGTCAAGGTGCCACCTTCTGGGTGGCCAGGTCCTTGCAGGTCCCACTAGCCGGTGAAGGGGCATTATGAGAAATTAGCCCTACAGTGGCTGGCCCTCAGAGGAGGTTTGTGATATTTAAAAAGAATTCACACAAACTTTAAGTGGATCTATCTCATCTCCTCAGAAACCCGGTCACAATCACCCCTCACAAAAGACCACCATTGTGACTATCAGTCATTTTTCGTTTTTCCCAGGATGGATGATTGACATTTCGGATCTGCTGAGTTCCAACAGGGGATGCCAAGTTGTAGAGACATTTAAGGACACACAATTTCCACTTCAGAGTCCCAAGCCCTCAAGAAAATCTAATACCATCCTTTTTCTCACCTGCAAACACCGTAGCCCAGTGTCCACCATCAGATCAAATATTTGCTGACCAACCGAATCAGTGGAGGAAGGAATACTCTGCAAATGCATTCTGGCTCCCCAGGGGCAACCCCCGATACACCACACCAGACCCCCTGGGAAGGACAAGTTGAATTCAGTTGTACATGTTGCGAACGAGATTATAAAAAAACCTATTTCTTCTTAGAAACCAGAACAATTACATTGGCTAATTTAACAAA